CTCTCTCTCTCTCTCTCTCTCTCTCTCTCTAATTCTATCCAGCAGCCAGAGATGGTTATTGCTTAGTTTCCTCATTTCCTTCCTGTTATTCGGGATGTTCTTTGTTTTGTCGATTTTAATCGACTCCCTGATCTTCCACGTAACCCTTAAGTCGTCTTATCTGGGAAAATATTGGGTTTAACCCCACTCTATCCGATGTCCTGTAGTCATCATTTGCATGAACTCAACGCAAACACATCTTCGAAGCTAAAAACAGGCCTCAGCCTTGTATGGACCATATGCTTTCATCGACTTCACTCGCATGCATGCATGCAGAACAGGCATAAAGCTACCAACCAAATTACAGATTGCTCCGTTAACATTGCAAAGTGAGGTGGCCACCTTTCTTGGATTTGTGCTTTTTCATGATTGTTCGTAAATAATGCTTTCTAGCTCCGACGATCTCCGTCCGTTCCAACAGTCCTAGTCCTCCTTCGGCATCCAGTGCGGCCAATCTACGCATCCTTTCCATCAGCCGTTTCAAACCAGCATCAAAGGCCAGATGAGAGGCAACCAGACGAGAAAACATGTGAAAATTGGTTTCTGCATTAGTTCAACCGTTTCCGGCATTTCTGAAATTGTAAACTCCGTCCAACCCTGTTCCAGCAAGCCTTCACTTGGACGACGCATCTGCCACGACGTGAGGGAGTGGCCAATTTGCCCCAAACTCACAAAATCAGCTTCACACGAAACCCTTTAGTTGAATCAGCCGGCTCGTCTCGCGACAGGCCCTATGAGAATAGCCTCCGTCTATGCCTAGAACTCCCTGTTCCCGCTTGCCCCTCTTCTAAAACCTAGTCCCATGTGGCCAATAATAAACAAGCTCGATTGATTACATTTTCACAATCAATACCAAAGTATAGTAAGCAATGCATTCCGGTAGTCAGGACGAGGTTGCCGGTTGCCGGTTGCCGGTTGTTTGATATGTCGCATCCTCAAGGCCACAAACGGCCGAGTAGCGGTGGCGACAGACGGAGGGTGAAAAAAACTCGAGCCTCGTCACCGGACCAGGCAGGATACTACTCAAATGGGGGTGACAGCAACCGAGGCATAAATGGTCTGTCCAAAAAGACCCTCTCTCCTTTGGGCAGGATGAAGAGGTAGCGTGATAGTGGAAGAGACAATGGCTTACACGGTGCGTACAGCTGGTAGGGGCCGGCCTCGAACTGGCGTAACCGCGGCATGTGGTATCGACGGGAGCCGGCGGTGTGCAGGAGGAGGAGGGCATGTTTGGTAATCGGGAGTGCTGACAAACCCACTAAAAGGTGTGAATACATGGGCTTGAGTAGGCCCACAATCATGTGATCAAGCCTCACGAAAGCATCAAAGTTGACTCATACAAACGGGCAGGGCTGTCTGAAATGTCGACTTGTTGCCACCATGTCGCACTGCCAAATATGCCTTTGGGCCACGGGGCAGACGTGAATGCTTGCTCCACCAATCGACTCATATGATTGTGGGAAAATAGGGTGATACATCTCATATCATTCCTCAAGTCGGCTAAATTTATTAATGAGATGTATTCACTCTATTTCGTGTAAGGTGATGAAGGACTGGTAGTAGAAA